CAGTAAACTCAATTATCTCCAGCTACAGAAAATATCTACATTTTACACTAACAGCAAAAATACGTAAAAGTCCATAAAAATACATAATTCTTATTATATTACACAGAACCCCCACATTTAACCTATCCCCAGATAGCTCGGATCTGAGCTCTCAATCTAAGTGAACAGCGCTCAGATCCCATGAACAGAGTAAATTTACCATGGGGTAAAGCATAGCAAGGGCTGTTGAGAAACCAAGGAAGGACAAAAGCAGTCAGTTCCAACTGGTTTGGCAGTGTGCCTGGGACAACGCCCTGCTGGAGAACAATAGACAGGAAACGGGGTAGGGGAAGAGACACACCTTCCCATGAATTCAAATGGGCAGAAACAGTCTTTAGAAGCCAATAAGCCCCAAATAGTCTTTTTAAATGGCACTACACCCCAGGGCCATAGTCATGAGGAAGGAGGCTGGCAATCAGGCTCCTCCAGCAGCCGGGGGCAAAAGGCAGCTTGTCACCTAACAATCCAGTGACAAAAGGCATTTCGTCACAATCGGCTCCTGTCAAAGTGCCAGGAGCTTAAAAAGACTGGCCGAAGAAAGTGGTCAGCGCCCACGAGGGACAGGTTCGGCAATGTAAATCTCACTTTACCTTGCCGCCCCTCGTCACCGGACTACCAGCAGCGATGTCAGTCGGGGGTCCTTGCAAATTATGCAAAGTCCAAAAGGTGACAATGGTGCTTTAAGGGCTAAAGGCTTTTTCAGTGGAGGTTGTGTATAAACACAATGTGTTAATTTTCCCTAAGAGATCGTAAGCAAAGATCTTTGTAAATATTAGTAGCAGTACATAATTGTGCAATGATTTTGTTTATATTGATGTGACAATTGTTTATTGTATTAAGAGAAAATTACAGTAATTTTGTAGCTTTACAATATGTCAATATCGTTTTAGTTCAGGAGAATTATTTTTTAATTATGTTTGTCTATGAGGCTATGGTTGCTATTTCACACTATTACAAAATAGCTAAGCAGTAAGTACTTCTGTGAATGTGTTATTTCATTGTTTTGTTTAACAAATGTAATGTAAATAGTCCCCATAGAGCGTATTATGTATGAAGAACAAATGGCTGTTTAGTTGCAGTGTATCCGAAATCAATCATTACATAAAATTTAATCAAACAAGCACTGTAGAATAGTAGGGGAGAAGTATGAAGTATGGCATTTTAGTTATTTCCACCCATAACCATGTATAGGCTAAATTAAGTGGTGCAGTTACATGCTATTTTTATAACTTATACATTAACAGGACCATTCATTAAAGTATGAAAGTTCCAAATTTGTGGCCAGAAAATGTGAATTGAAAACATGATGATATTGAGATTTATTTTTCCAGACAATTCTGACCACGAACACTTTAGTGATTAACCATGTATATATATTCAATCAGAGAAAACGTGATACTGGACTGACTCAGCAATATCATTTATAGGCGGGCTGGGCATCATGGGAAATGTAGTTTGCCACACTCCTACGGGAGCATTTCCTGAAACCCTTGGTACATGTTGTGTAATTGGCATTAATGTATTACGTGTGCTGGTATATTAAATAATGAGATTATGGAAAGGGTAGACGTTATCCCATTTTCTTTCAGTACTATACAGGCAGATCTAGTATATACTGTAAATAGATAAGGCGATACTTGGTGGTGAGTGTCCTACATGGTAATAAAACAATGGGATAAATAATCCTTTAAATATATCTGTTGTGTCACTGAAAATTCTCATGTTTGATATAGAACATTGGCTTTAATATGTCCTATACCCATGGCACTATATGTTAAGGGGGAGAGAACTATTCAAAGCCTTTCGCTTAGGTGAGTTCATTTTGAAACGTGAACGAGAGCGAAGCAGGTTAGGAGCTAGAGACAGAAGAATGTTTTAAAATGTTATTCACAAATAAGCACATTTTATCCATCATCCTTCATAATGTATAGGGTCCCTTAGTTGTAAACAGCCATGTGTAATTCCACTGTGTATAAGGAATCCCTGAGAACGTGCTGTGCCCATATCTTGTGTTGCTATTGGGCATCAATTGGGGACATTGAATTAAAGGCTGTACTTTCTTTCCATAGAACACTCATTCACTCAGTTTTAGACTTTTTCTGTCCCCCACACCCCTATTGTCTGCCGAGAGTATGACACTAAGCATTCTGCGAATGTTCTTCTATATCAAGGAGACTGAGCAAAGTAAAACCTGCCTTCATCAGTCTTCTTGAAAAAGAATAGCGTCAGAAGTCCGCACTGGAGACAACAGCTCATTCAAGATGGATGAATGAAGGTTTATGCTTTACAGAGCAGTGTTAAAGTCCTTATGGTGACAAAGTCATAATAAAGTTGCTGGGATCGGGGCTTACATTTTGTAATCGTATGCTACTAGCCAGGCCACAAAGGTTACTTGCCACTGCATAAAGTCTATTTATGAGTTGAAATTTAATGTGCAGGTTGAGATTAAAGATGTTAGATGAACTGTGAACACTATATCACATTTGCATAAAAGGTATAATATCTGATACTTTGTTATTTTTAGCGGATAATTCATTGATCATCTGATCTGATCTTGTAGACACTTTATGTATGTAACACTGTGGAGTCTATTGCTGAACGTATCCCGGCACTTACATTGAGGAATTCCGTAGACACGTTTGTGGAAAAGCACTCCCGGCAAGTGTATTTTTACACTACAACTTGTACTTTTTATTATTGGACGTATTCACTTCTCTTGGGACTTTATTAGACATATTTGTTTGCATATACTTAATTTTTAGTACCATTTTTGCCCATTTTTACTGATATTACACATTTCCTCTGTATATTTACTTTATTTGTGGTGCTACCCCTTGCGTTCTCCTTTTCTGTTTCTTTCCATTAGTAGGATAAGAGGGGGATAACTTCTTTTGCGGTTAGCTGCCGCCCCCATACATACCACTCTCCCTAGTTTGAAATCTTAGCGCTAATCCTTCCCTTCCATTTCATATAAGTCGTATAGGTCCTTCTCGTACAACACAGGATAATTCTATCTTACAAAGGTTGTCTTTTTGTTCTCATATACAGGGGCCCTGCTAATTTATTTCTTGTAGAAAAGAAAAAAAAAAATAAGCGATGCCTTAGGCTAAGGAGTAGATCTTCAATCATCCAGAAAAATGACTTGTGCGAGAGGGTTTAATTAAAGTATATTTATGTCAATAGCTGTTTTATCCAATCGCACACATACAGACCATACAGAATTTACACTTCCTACGCAAGGTCCCCACCTTCCCCCACTTATTCTTGTGAGCGTATTCAATTCAAAAGTATATTCAAAATGAAAGTTCTAACACATAAAACAAATCAGTGGAAAATTGGCTTTAGATACGAAGAGAGCATTTCCACCTGTTTGTGGCTCATCCTCTATAAACACATTGATCAATGTAT